TGATGTGAAAAGTAGTATTGCAGGATTATTATTACCTTTATTGTCAAGGTACAGCATGTGTGCAATGAGATTGGATGGAAACTGTTCCAAATATAGCCACTTGGTCAATGTTGATGGTGTTCAAGTGATGCTCTGATTGTTTTGGGAGAGGACCCAGGGCACCTATTACTATTATTATAATTAAAATGTATTACAGCCACCCGCCCTAAAAGTCTCCAAGCAGCTTACAACATCCAAACCAGTTAACAGCAAGAAACAAAACAGTTGCTGGACTATCTTAATAAAAACACAACAGGGGCTTCACAGGACATATTAAATCCAGGCCTGGGAACATATTAGACCAGTGATGGCTAACCTATGACACGCATGTCACTCGTGACACGCCGAGGCACTTTGACTGACACGCCTGTTGGTGTGGGGAAAACCTGCACATTTAGAGGCTGCCTGTGCTCTGCTCCAATCCCTGCTCCCTGCTTGTTGCGTGGAGGCGTGGTGTCACCGCTGCCGCAAGATCTTTGCAGCAGAGAACCAGTTTTAACCGCCATAAACTGAGGTTTGTCAGTTTCATTACCTCAGGAACGCTACAGGAGGAAAGGAGATCCATGAGGTTCACAGCCCTGTAAGGTGGCCTTCCGATCCCCACATCCTGCACCTGCAGCCCTGAGACCAGGGAGACGAGTTTCACAGCCCTGTGTGATCACCCCAGCCCAGTCCGTCATAAACCAAATTATTGATATTTCTTGAAGTGACACACGACCCGAGGAAGGCTACACTTTTTCCCGATTTTCGACACACCAAGCTGAAAAGGTTAGCCATCATTGTATTAGACATTAAAAAGCATCCTGGGTCAACATTAAGTTACAATATATGCTAGCAGGGACCCACCCCTAAAATTGTAAAGGCATAACCTTTGAATTTCTTGTCCCAAAAGTGCTTTTTCCAAGAGGCAACAGGACTTTCTGGTTTTTCTTTGAAGACGTTTCGCTTCTCATCCAAGAAGCTTCTTCTGAAGAAGCTGAAGAAGCTTCTTGGATGAGAAGCGAAACATTTTCAAAGAAAAACCAGAAAGTCCTGAGGCCTCTTGAAAAAGCACCTTTGGGACAACCGTGGACCTGGGTGGTTGAGAATCTCTTATCATTCTACACACTACTACTCCTTGTAGCATGTTTCAATTTTAAGTGGGACTCAAGAGGATTGAACTCAATGTCCTGGACACCGAAAGCAGAGGAAGGATCAGTACATGGTCAAAGGGGTTTAAAACAATCCCAAAAAAGAAACCAGGAGGAACCCTAAAATTCCAGCTTCCTGATTTTACCCATGGTGACTGGTCATTCTTCAAATTTGATCCTGAACAAACCAAGCCAGAAAGTACTCGGACCTCTCTTGCAGTGGTGGCTAGGTGACTTTTGAGGAACAGAAAGCAAATACTGGGGTTTTTTTTTAAAGCTGCAGAGAAGTTCATTCTCCCTAGTCCCTTGAATCATTCAGGACAGAGGCTGAAACCAAAACAGAGGCCAGGAGCCCCAGCTGTCCAATCCAACCCAAGAACTTCCTTGCAGGTTCAGACTGGAGGATCTACCCAAGATGGTCAACATCTGACAGCAGCAATTAGAGCAGGGGTGGGCAAACTTTTTGGCTCGGGGGCCTCATTGACTTTTAAAATTTGACAGACGGGCCGCCACCTGGTGTCGAAATGCCTGTCATTACAAGTCAAAATCAAATGAATGCAATCATTCAATCATTCACATCAAACCTTAATTCTGTACCAATCTTCGGCGGGCCGGATTAAAAAGACCAACGGGCCGGATGTGGCCCGCGGGCCGTAGTTTGCCCACCCCTGAATTAGAGGCTAGTTTTTCCACCAAAGCGCTCAGTAAACATTCCAGACTTAGTTGTGGGCATGTAAGAAACTCTATACTTCTACAGTCTCTGCTCCCCACACCTTTCCTTCTTAAGAAACCAGTTTTGCCTTCCGGTTGCATGGCTTCGGCGGCAGCAGGAATTCGCGACAGCTCGCGATTCCTGCTGCGCTTGCTGCCAAGGTGCCCCCGATCCAAATGGGTCTGGGGGATATGGCTGCCCTGTAGAGGCAGCCGAAGAGAGAGGGGATCCGGACAGGGGTTTGGGGGTGTCGCAGACCCCCTCCCCGGCTGGAAAAACCCCTTTTTCCCAAGGTGGTGGAGCGGCGGTCAGTGATGGCCGTCACAAAGAAGCCTGCAGCCGGGTAAGATTTGTGCTGGAGGAAGCTGGAAAAGTGAGGGGGCTGACTGAGCCGAGACAACAACAACTTTTAAGTATCCTGTAAACTGAACTGCTTGAATTGCCTGAAGAAACCAGTTTTATTCTCTGCCTGAGTCCCAGCTAGGTGGCATAGAAGGATGGGGGAGTTTGACTAGGACGACGCTTCCTCTGCATTTTCTCTTTCTCCAGCACCTGTTGCTTCCCTCTACTACTCCTCCAATTCGCCACAATTCTGCCTTTCATCATAGCAGCCTTTATGCTCAGCAGGAACACATCACGTACTCTAGCTATGTTTTGGGAAGGCAAAGAATCCAGGGCCTTGTACCACCTTTTCCAATGGAGAAATTGTTATTCAAGGGAATCAGAAATCGTGAATCAACAATTTGGGGGGGGGGGGAGAGAGAATGAATAAGAATGTGCATATATGTGTTATGTATGTGTATGGGTAGACATATATATATATATATATACAGGGGAACTGGAAACAATGGGACCACCATTACCACCAATGTACAGTATACTTTTGGGCAGAGGTCTCCAAACTTGGCAACTTTAGCTGGACAATTCTGGGAGTTGAAGTCCACAAGTCTTAAAGTTGCCAAGTTTGGGGACCCCTGCTCTTGGGATTTCTTAATAATCTCCTGTCCTAACAAATCCAATCCAGATTAGTCTTTTAAATTCAACTAAAGTCAATTAGGTGCCTCTGACTGCTGGGATAGCTGCTATTCATTACTAGTTTAATTAGTCCATTTAGAATTATGGGGACTAGAAATGGGATTGTAGGCTGAAGGTCTAGTGGTTATGGCACCAGGCTAGAAAGCAAGAGACCATAAGTTCAAGTCCCGCCTTGGCTATGACAACCTATGATGGGTGTCCTTGAGCCAGTCCCCCTCTCTCTCTCAGCCCAACTCACCTCACAGGGTTGTTGTTGGGAAATTGGAGGAGAAAGGTATGTTGGATAGGTTTGTCACCTTATTTATAAAAATAATAAAAGGCAGGAAATAAATAAATTTATATATCTGTATCTATTTACTATACGTCCACCTAGGGAATCAAGCATGAAACCATGGCTTCATGATCAAGTAAATCTGAACTGGGATAGAGGCTGTCCTTGTTTGGTGACCACAACGGACCCTCAACTTGGTCGTTAAACAAAGCAATCTGAAAGTGAAGCCCCAACTGTTTACAATCTTACTTCAGCTTTTCTTTGCTTTTACAGACTTGTGAAGGTTGTGAACACAAGGACGGTTGCAAAGTTTCTTTTTTATCATCATCCTAGTCACTAGGTGAGGACTACCTGAATATCCAGGTCGTCTGATGCAGCACATCTCATCCAGGAGGTAGGTCTTCTGCAAAGAAGGATCAGATCACCTTACCAAAAAATGTCTCCTGGTTTCTAGCCTGGTACCTTAAAATACTGCTGGCCTTGTTAAAAATCGTAACAGGCCTGAGCAAAACTCTCTGATTTCTGTAGATCACCATTTTCAGATTTCAGTTCTGCACAACTAGGAGTTTCCCAAGGGCATTTTAAATCAGTTTTGCTATTTCCCAATTCACCGTTATTATTTTTAATTTTTAAAAAGGGTATACTGAGGGAAATCTGGATTAAAATTGATGAAGGAAAATATTTTGATTATAATAGTTGTTTCCTCATGCTGGATGGGGAATTTTGGGAGTTGAAGTCCGCACATCTTAAAAGTTGCCAAGGTTGAAAACACGGCTATAAATGATCCCTCCCAACTCATTTGAACTTATTGGGGCTGAGAGAAAAATGGCTTATTTCAATCCTGATTGCTAAATGGGCCAAACCTTAGGGTTTTTGAATGAAGAATACAGCACTTCAAACGTACTAGCATCCAAGCCTCTTCTAGAAGACCATGGCACACACACACACACACACACACACACACACAGACAAAAGGCCTCTGAATCTTTCTCTGCCCTCTCCCACTTCCCAACACAACCAACACAACGCGATGACCAGCTGGGCCCACTCCATATGCGCAAAGGCATTCTTCCCGCTTATTATACGCACATAGGTCGCTTAATGTTCATTTATTTCTTCTCAGGCCGCGCAAAAATTGGATTTCGGGCCAAGGCCTCCCCACCTTCCCACAATTCTGGGGGGAAAAACCCCAAACCAATGTGATCTAATGGCCCATTTCTTCCTCGCCAAAGCCTAGTCAGTAGCTTCGTTGCGCTACTCCGCAGTTTTCGGCTTCTCTCTCTCCCCCCCCCCCCCCCCCCCTGCAACCCCACGACCCCGCCCCCCTTCTTTCCCCCCCCCCCTTCCTACCTCATTTCGACCCGTCTTCACAGTCATGCACGACCGGCAAGGCCAATTTCCTCCACTCCGAGCAAAACAACGCAAAGGACCAGTAATACCCTTCCTACACGGTCTCTTTGCACGCATGCAACACACACACGCGTGCACACCACATACGCCCCCCCCACACACACACACTTTTTGGCTCCCAGTAGATAATCCACCTTCCCAGAAGAGCTCCCTTAACACGGTGCAGTACCGGATTTCATCCCCCCACCCACCCAAAATGGGGAAACACCCTTTTCTTTCCCCAAAGCAATTCAATAAATAATTCCCCGGGCAATTCCAAGCATGGGTCATCTTGGCTCCCTTGCAGTGTCCTCTCCCCCACCCCCACAACGAGGCAATATAACGCAGCGAGCTTTCCAGATCTCCCACCCACCTCCCGCATGAAAATCCCCCTCCTGATTTCCTCGATCTGGATTCCACTGACCCGAAAGAGGTAGCGAGAAGCTGCGCGGCGCGCTAGAGTCCAACCGGCGGCGCAAAGGAGAAAAAGCAGCGCCTCCGTCCAGGCCAGCCGGGCGTTCTCGGCCCACGTCCGGCGGGACAGTTCCCAGCCACAATCTGTGCAGCTCCGCAGCGCCCCGACTAAGCTCCGGTAACTACGCCGCACCAACTGCTCGTAGCTCGGCATAGGCTCGGGCGCCTGCATCCTTTTCTCCGGCCACTCACGGCTTCGTCGCGCAAGCACGAGAGCGGCAAGTGCAAGGCTGCCTCCTGCTGCAGCCGCCCATCAGCGCGCGCCGGTCCCACACCAGCTGTTTGCAGCTGGAAACAGCGGCAGGCCCGCTTCTGCGCACGCGCGCCAAACGCCGCGCAGAAACCTGAAGAGCGGGGGGGGGGGGGAGGCGAAGCCCGCGCGCGAGCGACCTTCGCCGGCCGCTAGAGGGCGCGCCCAGCAACGCCGCCGTTGGAAAGGATGCGCTTGTCAAAGCGCCCGGCGGGGCTGACTGGCGAGTCAAGGATCGCAGCCCCCTGCAGCGCGAAGCTGGTCGCGAAAGATCCTGCTGGATTTAAGGCGGCTTTGCTGGTGATCGTGCACGCGTTAGGCATGCATCGGATCGCGGCTTCGGGAAGCAGCTTCTTCGACTCCAACGCAAGAGGAAAATCCGCGATTACATCGGATTTAGAAGACGATCTGCTCTGCCGGGGTCTCCCAAGATTTCCCGGCGGCTGCATTGGAATCCAGTCCGCTTTCCGGCTCCGAAATCCTCCCGAGAGATGCGAAACCTAACGAAGGGGTTCAGGTACGAGCTAACATGCTTCCCTGAGGCTTTGATTGTAGAGCTGCGTGTGAACCGGGAGGGGGACGGACGCTTCGCTTTGGCGAACTGCCCTCTTTAGTTTAGTTTCGGGCGAATGCATTGCTTCGCCTTCAACGCTGAGCGGGGAGATTCAGCGGTAGGTGAACCTGGAAACGTCCGACCCATTTGGGAATGGGTGCAAATGTCCCTTCCCACCCCCGTTTCCGAATTCATAAAAAAATTACTTCGCGATATAAACAATGGGCAGAAGTCGAACGATTGTAAAAATAAAAATGTGTTCTAAAATAGGGCTTGGAATTCTCTATTTTGTATGCTTATTGGGGAAGGGAAAGAAGAGGTATGCAGTAGAAATGCAAGATCTGTTAATTTATGTGGGATTTATAGATATAGATAGAAGATAGGTAGGTGGATGGATGGATGATAGAGGGGCAGACAGACAGAGATAGAAACAGAGACAGGCAGGCAATGAGATTAGATAGGGAGAGAGAGAGAGAGAGAGAGAGAGAGAGAGAGAGGGAGAGAGGGAGAGAGGGAGATCAGGGGTCTCCAACCTTGGCAACTTTAAGACCTGTGAACTTCAAAGCTGGCTGAGGAATTCTGGGAGTTGAAGTCCACATTAAAGTTGCCAAGGTTGGAGACCCCTGGTTTAGATCCCTTCACAGGTTGTGGGCCATGTTTGGGTCTGGTTAAGTACTTGAGGGAGGTGCATGCCACTCGTGGAAATCTACTACAGTAGTCCTCAATTTACAACAGTTTATTTAGTGACAGGGGGGAAAAAAGCTGACTGAGGAATTCTGGGAATTGAAGTCCACAAGTCTTAAAGTTGCCAAGGTTGGAGACACACACACACACACACACACACACACACACGTGTAGGGTCTCCTGTTTGAGCAGGGGGGTTGGAATAGATGACCTACAAGGTCCCTTCCAACTCTGATTATCTGTTAACCACAAGAAATAACACAAAAGTGTTGGCAAGTTTTCCTCTGGGTGAAGAATATGATTTCATGCCCACAGCAACAAGTCACTAGCCTCAGCTCTTCGGCCTCCTGGAAGTTAAAAATTGGAAGTTTTTTTCAGCTGGAATGGAGCTCTTGAAGGTCACTTCCTATCTAGAGACTAAGAGCTTGAAAAGGGGATGTGAATTCAGATGCGGAATACATTTGGGTTTTTATGGTTCATTCAAACAAATTGATTTGCAAATAACTTAAAGTTTTGAAGATTCCATTAGATCAGTGTGCTGTCCAGACAGTATATAGTTAATTGGGAATTGGGAACTGTTCCCCTTAAGGTAATGCCTCATGGGAAATGTAGTTATTGCATCATGGGAAATGTAGTTCATGTCATGTGGTCACATCTGTAATCCTGATTGGTCACTGAGTTGACCCTTGGTTGGGTTGGGGGAGTTTCCATTATTCTTGCTTGGACCCCAGCATCGTGCTGGTGTCTCACCTTTTGGTCCATCGTTATGGGATGAAGATAACTATCTTTTCACACTATGAAGTCAACGATGCAAAGATTTGGACATTAGATGAATCTCGACATAACTGTGGATGCCTTGTGATCCAATAAAGAAACTTTGTATGGAAGCCTTTGTAGAGTTTTAACTGCTTATTTTAGGCATCTTTTGGAAGATAAATAGAGACAATCAGTGTTCTTCAAACATGCCCCTTTGAAGATGTGTGGACTTCAACTCCCAGAATTCCTCACCCAGCAGGGCTGCCAGGCAGAGGTGGTATTCAGCAGGTTCTGATCAGTTCTGGAGAACCGGTAGCGGACATTTTGAGTAGTTGGGAGAACTGGCAAATCCCACCTCTGACTGGCCCCGCCCCCCTCTATTCTCCACCTCCTGAGTCCCAGCTGATTGGCTGGATCTTCTTTGGTTGCCCTGCACAGGAGAACGGAGCTGGAAAGCAGGTTAGTGGGGTGAGGAGGGAATGGAGATTTTACAGTAACCTTCCCCTGCCATGCCTACCAAGCCACGCCCACCAAGTCAAGCCACGCCCACAGAACCCGTATTAAAAAAAATTGAATCCTACCACTGCTGCCGGGGGAATTCTGGAAGTAGAGGTCCTAATCTTAAAGTGGAAAAACACTGCATTAGACCTAAATGTGAATGGGACGTATCAAATGGCGAAGGGGTTTTTCTTTGCTGCCTCCAACATCTACTAGATGGAAGTTCATTAAATCAAGAGTTTATTGTACAAACGTTGGACAAAATAGGACAAAAAACACACTGATGTATCTTCCTGCCTTTTTGTGGGTTTCTTAAGCAATTTAAATCCTTCCAGGTGCATTGGAAATTGATGAATAGTGCTGATATTGATGAATAGGATAACACAGTAAAGCCTTCCTTCATATTAGGAACGGCTCATCTCATGCTCTTTTGAAATATCCGGAATTTTTTTTTAAAAAGGACTTGTTCATCTAATTTACCATATAGTGTAAGGATATAAGTGTGAACTCATAAAATAATTCTATGGTCTTTTAGAGTTGCCAACAGAAAGGGATAGGGGAGCAGTACGATAGCTTGCAACCGAAACTGCATTCCATAAATGTTTTCAAAGATAGTAACTAGGTGACTGAAGTTTCTGCCGGGCAAAATTATAACTGGAGAGCATGTTTGATGACTCTTGGCTACGGATGTGTCCCATTGGAGAATATGAATTACGATACACCCCAGAGGGTGGGGGGGAAACCAGGATTAAGAGTGACAATGAATTATGTGTGTCAGAGTCGGCTACACCCAGGCAGTGCCGGACATGTTAACTCCCAATAAATCCGTTTGAAGTTTTGGAAGTCTGGCTCGAGACTCATGATTTAAATGGTGGTAACTGCCGGAATCCTTACAGCTAACCAACTCTGAAACACATCATTCATTGTCACCCTTGAACCAGCCCCCCCCTCCCCCACTGGGTGTATCATAATTCGTAATCTCCAATGGGACACATCCAAATCCAAGAGTCATCAATCACGCTCTGCAGTTAGAATTTTGTGCAGCAGAAACTTCGGTCACCTAGTTACTATCTTGAAAACATTTATGGAATGCAGTTTCGGTTGCTGCTCTGCTCCCCCCTCCCTTTCTGTTGGCAACTCTAAAAAGACCATAGAAATATTTTATAAGTTGACAATGGTGGTGGCCCCACATGGGCCACCAACATGTCCCAGAAGGTCCTTCAGGTTGCAGAGGTCCTCTCCGTCCAGCTGAAGGGGGAGGAACCCCAGACAATGATGACCAGTCACCGGATTCTTATGACAGCAAGGACGAGGGCAAAAATGACCCAATGGTGAGTGGACCGATTCCCCCTTTTGTCTTCCCAATATGGGTTACAGTCCCAAAAACAGGGAATAGGGGGACTTTCCAAGCCCTAATAGATTCAGGCTGCACCAGATGCCTGATCAACCTAACCAAGGTCCTAAAACTGGGGATCAGAGTGAAAAAGCTAGCCCACCCAATCCAGTTTGAACAAGGAAATGGCTCCCTGCTGGGAGAAGCCTATGCCACTCACTTAACCGAACCAATGAGACTAGACCCAGCGGATCCCTGGGAAACAATTCGATTTGTAGTAGCTCCCAAAATGACAGATGCAGTCATACTGGGACTTTCCTGGCTAGACAAGTGTGGCCCGACTATCTGGTGGCAGGGGGGCAGCCACAGATTGAGGATAGCAAAGGGACTTTAACCCCTTCCTCACCATCGAAAAGAAGCACCGCGTTCATCGAGCCAGCCAAGCCATGGGTGGCAGTCCCGGTCCCCTTCAAGGAGAAAAAAGATGGAACTATGAGATTATGCGTGGACTTTAGGGCGATCAACGGACTGTGTGTACACAATCTATATCCCCTCCCACCCATGAAGGACATGCTGTCCCACCTGGCCAAAGGGAAGGCCTTAACCAAATTAGACCTCAGAGAAGCATACTATCGAGTCCGCATCAGGGAGGGAGACGAATGGAAAACAGCGTTCAACTGCTCCCTAGGGAGCTTCCAATTCAAAGTCATGCCTTTCGGACTACAGCACTGGTTCCCAAA